GGTGTGTGTTTGTAAGGAGAATGTAAGGTGAAATGTATTTGTTGAATTATATGTTTATTATGAAACTAAGACCCAACTAGAAAACTAAGACCCATAGGGTTGTAAAACTAAGACCTAGCTACAAAACTAAGACCTCTTAGTTCTGGCTTCTAGTTCAAGCTTAATAGACATCATAGAATACAGATAAATCTTTACAAATCTATTTTAACCAGAAACTTGCTGTCTGCTGCTGAAAAATACCTTTCAAAGCTGCTCAAATACTTATTGTACAATCTTCAGAAGAAATAGAAATGTACAAAAATCGTGTAATTCTTGAAAATACCTCAAACTAGGAATTTCACTTTCTATCGTGTCTTTTCTATGTCACAGAGTCTCGAGAAGACGAGACGGTGAGCCATGAAAACTAGTTTCAACTTTTAATCATAAATATACTCTTCGTTAAAACATAGGGAAAGGTTTGGGCGTAATAAGACTTTATTCTTAAATCGTTAAACCAATGGATACTCGCATCTAAAATATTACTTGACAAAATAAGGTAAAATGAGCGAGGGGTAACACGTACATTCTCAGTCTTAAAATGAAACAAACACAAGAGTCAATAACACATATAAGTATAATAAAATACAACAAAATAAAAAAAAGTGTGGGTGGGTAAAATTATCGGACACTGCACAGATACATGCATACAGAGCCAGCGACGTATCAGCCAGGAAGAGTTTGGGCAAGTTGAAGTAAATTATATAATAGCAATTTGTAGCCTTATTACATAACATGAGCTTGAAATTGTCCAAACTCACGTCTCAGGCACGTGCCGGGTCGATATGATACAACCCGGATTCCCCCTTTCAGTGATGCAGGTCGGAGGGGCTGACATAGACAAAGCGTCTAGTCGTTCGGATGGGACAATAAACCGAGGTCCTATGTATTATTGGCTGTGTACGATAAAGATCCCTCGACATTTGGAAATCGAAAATAAGAGGCTAATGCCGTTGTCCTGGCAAAATTCACATCATTGCACACTACATGGCGTTTGCCCGTCCACATTATCCCATGCAGGTGCCGAAAAGAAGGACGTAAAACTCCATTTCATTTCAGGTTTTGAAAAATCGAAATTTTGGGTCTTAGTTTTCTAATCCTATGGGTCTTAGTTGTCTAGTTGGGTCTTAGTTTTAGAGTCCCATGGGTCTTAGTTTTCTAGTTGGGTCTTATTTTCATAATCCTACGGGTCTTAGTTTTCTAGTTGGGTCTTAGTTTCATAATCATATGGGTCTTAGTTTTCTAGTTGGGTCTTATTTTCATAATCCTATGGGTCTTAGTTTTCTAGTTGGGTCTTAGTTTTATAGCCTTATGGGTCTTAGTTTTCTAGTTGGGTCTTAGTTTTCTAGTTGGGTTTTAGTTTTCTAGTTGGGTCTTAGTTTTATAGCCCTACAGGTATTAGTTTTATAGTTTGGTCTTAGTTTTATAGACACCCATCGAAACAAGCAAATGCGGAGGTCACGCGAGGTCGCGAATTATTAATCCTTCCACTATGTCACGTTACCAAATTCTTAAATTCAGTTGCTAATTCTTTGCT